ATATATATATATATATATAATATGAAATGTGTTATTTTATGAATATTCACATAATACGATTACTAATATAATTAATTATTCATAAAGTACAACATTTCGTATTAGACATTCTTCGCGAAAGATTTCGAAAAGTAAAAAAGGAGCCGCTACCTGTTTGTACGAGCCTCGGTAAGGGAATGATCGCACGGTAACTACGCATAAACATGACGCGCCACTCCGAGTCATCCCCACTTCAAGGTCGCGCGCCGATCATCTAACTGTCGAAATATTACGTAGTTAAGGCACATTACAAAATCAATAAAATAATCTACTCATTACGTTTTAATATTCTTCGATGAATATTATACGATACTTTATTATACAATTTAATTTTTTGAATTTGTTACGCACAACATCTACACCTTAGGCCGGTATTCATAGTCAGACTTTATATTTAAGACGTCTTAAGTACAATTTCACGAATCAGAAGTCTGTATTAGCCTCTTAAGACATTACTTAAGACAGTCTTGAAATAAGAACGGACTATGAATACCGTTCTTGGATATCTCTAATTTATATATCTGTAAATGTATAATATAAATTCTATTTATATTCATTATTATATTTAGTCCAAATTGTTTTATAATTTAAAAAATATTTGCGTTTATCTTTATTTAAAAAATGTATAACTTATTATTAATCTTTATTTGAATGTAAATCATCAGAGTAATCAAGATAATCAAGATATAACTCTTAATACACACCTTAGTTTTGAGCAATACTATTTACTATTTGGGCAGCTTTACGTAATTAATCATCAATTCGCGTTCGTGAATTGATATCTAATTTTCGTAGATTGCGCGACCCAAAACGATCACACCACACATCCATCTCCTTCAGCGATCGCCGAGCGAATGCCGAAGTGATGACGTAGTCGACCACCGCGCCGCGCGACACCTCCCCCCTCCCCCTCGCTTTTCACCGCGCGACTCTTCTCGTCGCTTTTCGTCGAGCGCTGTTTAGATTATTACCCAACTATTGCGCATGAAAAATATTCAACGGTTTATTCAATTATTCATATTTTACATGATTTTGAACGATATCGCCGTATATTTCGCGTTTTGCTTTGTGGCATCTCGGGCACAATCCTACATTATTTGCATGGTTCTTTTAAACGAATTAGTAATTATTCGCGTAAGGTATTTTTGATATTCCAATATTATGTCTTAATTTTCATAATTCTTTTTAATGATTCATATTTAAATAAAGGTTGATAAAATATATTATATATGTTCTTTATATAAAGATATATGCAAATTTTCTTAATATCGTGAAATCTATCAATCTAAATACAGCTTTGGCTAAAAGTATTAAATATAATCATTTTTTAATTTTTCAGTTAATAAATTAAAGACACTACTATTACTGCAAATTATTCGTGTTTCAGAAATTCTTTAAATTTACTTTAATACATTTATGCCAAACTTTTTTTAGGAATAGAAAAGAGACCGGTATTTGATCAGGTGCTCTTAATATCTCAAAAAAAAAAGATATGCAGCACATGACGAATGATTCAAAGATGTGCATTAAAGATTAATGTTCTCCGCTTAATAGAATTTGTTGCACAATTTTTTATTTTTTAGACTTTTTGCGCATTCAGCTTATAAATATCTTAGTTTAATTGTGTTAGAATAAATGATTAGTTTGTAATAACCCGGTAAAAATATGTACACATATGTATATGTATATATATATATATATATA